TCATTTACAAAAATTCCTTTCCTTCTCCTTTTGCACATATTATTTACTTGCAAAATATTTCATGTTTTTTCCTCAACTTAGATCGTAGGTGCATGCATTCTCTTTATACTGGCTGTATCAGTGATTTAATGAAAATTAAAGAGAAAAAAGGAAAAACGTAAGCAAAATGAAGAATGCGACCTCCAGTGTCTATACAGGCTGCAATCTTAAACCTGCAAAGAACACAGAGAGGTGGTTTTCGAGGTTGAGAAGCAATAGAAAACACTTTCATTCCGTAAGCAACACCAGACTTTTTAGTTTTTCCTTATTTTCAACTTTCTAAGCTTTAGCTGTTAAAGTTGACCAATATTGTGAAAGTTGATAAAATTTACTTTTTGTACTTTGTCTCCTCGTCAGCGACTCATCTTGCTTTGGATGTCAATAGCTGACAGTAAGTAGAAAGCAACAGAAACCAAAAACTGATTTTCTCCGGAACCAATGGGTCAAATTCAAAAATCTAACGCTCATTAGAGACCTGAGAGTACTACAAATACTGTAATTTTTACAGATTGACCCCAGTGTTATTAGTCTTAGAGGGGAAAAAAGAAGAAATGGAGCCTTACTTGGTAAGGAAAATGAGTCAGCTTATTCAAACTAACATTATTTTGTCAATTTTTTACCTAAATAGCTTGCTAACCACTAAATTGATGGTAAATTACACCAGCTTTAAAATGAGACCAAGATCATTTCGATAGCTATCTTAGTTTGGAAATGAAAACAGTAACTTTGATTCAATTTTCGTATCAGCCTCTAATAAGCCCCAAAAGTACAAAAAACGATATGTTTCTCCTGGAGCGCGAACAAACTTTTTCCAATTTTAGCTAGAAAGACTCGATTTTCACTCCCTTTTTTTTTAATCCGAAAAGGTTTTGTGAGCGATAGAAAATTTGAAAATTGGAAGCAACTTCATCTTGGGAAGATGTGTGGACTAGCATTCGTGACAAGAGGAAAACAACGATGTAATGAAAAAATGAGAGTAAGGAGCAATGACACTTTCTTTGGTCCACTGCTGCTTTAGTTGCTTGTCTGAAAATGCACCAACTGTAGTGAAATTTTTGGATGCTGTTTGTCATGAGAATGCAAACTGTGATGTAAATGTTGCCTCCTTGCTTTTGCAGTAATTTCATCATCATAAATTACATTTATTGCTAAAGGCAGCTATAACCAGTTGCTGGATCTCTCACCTCATAACCTCACATATTTATCACTCATTGTTCAATATAATGATACTACTCGAACATTTTAAGAGAAACTAATGAAATAGTGTATCTGGCTCTAGTAGAACACAAGTGACGTAATAATGTAAGTGTGTAAATGGTAGTTAGAATCTAACGAGAATTGAATTTTCAATTTAAATCTATTCACAACTAGTTATAGTGGCTATTGGTTGGTAGCAGTCCGGGCCAAAAGGGAATTTCATTCCTGAAGCTCGAACTGAACTGAACGGAACAGAACCAACCAATGGTATTGAACCAATATTCCTCTTTTTCTAAATTATGGCTAAAAATTTGAAAGATATTTGCCAATACTGAATTATACTTTTAATGAAGCCTTTTTAACTGTGGTAGAAATGAAATACTCATATCCTCAAGCTTGATCCTTTGTAGGTTCCATCAGAATCTACGGCCGTGTAAGCGAGAAATCTGTCATGAAAAGTGGTCATGACGGGTGGGTTTCAGTCGGTTTAGTCGTATTTTAAGAAATCTCTCTTCTAAAACATTCGGAATGTTAAATTAAAGTCACACACGGTAACATGACAATTCTGCAGGTACCCTTTTTTTGGGTCCAGGGTTTACCGTAATCACGAAATCGGAGTAACTTTTTCAGGACCCTGAATTCCAATTTTCCCGATAAACAGCCCATGTGAAGTAAAATTTTTGTAGTTTTGGGCTTTTCAGCGCTTATAACCTTTTGAAAACTCAGTAGATCTTAATGAAACTCTTCCTATTTGTAGCCCCAATTTAGCTGCGTCCGTAGACACCAAGATCGTTAGAATCCGTGCTGTCGTTTGGGCTGCAGTCGAGTTGAAACCGAATCAATTTTCAGATTAAGAGAGTTATGTGTGACTAAGAGTGTCGGCCACCACTTTGCTTACAGGACTATAGAAGTATGTCATTTTCCTCGACTGGGGGTGGCCACTGCCACTTTTGACAACCAAGTTAAGACTCGTTTCTTACCGGAATTCGAGGTCGGACAGAGATGATTTTGTTTTTAGACATTACTTTTCTGTTTGCAGAATTCACCACGTGTAATACATTACAATTGAATCTAAACAATTTTGAGTTCACGATACATCACTAGCACAACTTTGACTGATGAAAACACACACTTATTATACATGACTTCAGGCGGAAAAAATGCGAGGTAGAAACCCAGGATGGAGCTTGAGCTAAAAACCGGGCGGCACACCTGGTACACTCGCCGGGTGGCACTCTCGATTTTTGGTATCCTATAAGCTCATATGTATTCGTTTGATGAATCGAGGTATAAATCAAAGCAGAGGATTTAAGGGAATGGAAAAAGATCACTGTCAATTTTTCAGTTCTTTTTTATCAATTTTGTTATCGATAAAACTTTTAAAGATGGTGGGTGACTGGGACAGAGGTGAGATTCTCTGTCATATTCTGCCTCTGTAAATAAATGGAAAACTTCAGGTGGTGTCTAAGTGAATGTTTTAAGTTCACAGAGCCATCCTGCTTCAAAAAAAAAAAAAAAAAAAACAGTTGACTCGCAATTCTTTGAGAAATAGATGCCTGATAAGTCTCAGGGACACAAAAATTATGGATCGTGGGAAATTACCTGAGTATGCAAAATAAATGCAATCTCCAAAGCGATATCTAAATTTTGTACAAAATCTGCAGAATTATGGAAACATTAATTGAATTTATCAAACCCCCTAATCCATTCGCATGTGAGAGCTCAGCTCACTTCTGTCCCTCGTATCTCACTTCTGTCATCCATGAATCCTTCTTTTTGCACTGTATGCCGTCGAAATTTACTGTACCGACTCAGAAAACCACTGATGTTTCAAGTAACAAGTGGCCAGGTGAAGAGAAAAATAGTGTTTTGGATTTCCGAAAGTTTTGTGAAGAATTAGAGGAAAGATGAGCAAATATTTTGTTTAAAATATAAGATTTTTAAACAAATACCTACTCTGCCTCTGATAAAGAAATGTTGAGTTTTTTTAGATGAATTGGTTTCTTATATTTAGTAGGCATCTTGTACAATGTAAATTTTTGTGTAATTGACAACATACTGACAATTAGGTGCACGAATTATAGCAGAGAAGTGGTGGGACAGAGGTGTGATTTTTTCTCAGTTCAAATTTTCTGCCAGTCGCGTGGCACGTTAAATTTTTTAAATGAAGTTGAACTGTCTGCTTTTGTAGGTCCTACCATGCGACTAAATTCTAAAAATAATATCCAACACTGGGAATGTGGGAGTTCATTTTTTTTAAAACATGTTATTTGTATACATTTTTATTTATTTATTATACAAAAATATATTCCAAAGTTAAGGATGGTAAAGAATTACCCTTAGGTGATATCTTATGTTAGTCCCTGGGTGAATTTACTGTGATCATGCAATTCTTCTCACTGTATGAGTCTGAAATTTAAGCTCTGATGACCAAATCGTTTTCGGTCATAATTCTTCACTTTTCCAGATAAAAATATGGACATGCAGATCGTATTTACCTCTGGTAGTACCGCTGCTGGATGCTTTTTTGAATTTAACAGATTTACCTCATCGGGCATGCTGATGTCAAGTATACTCTTGGTAAGGTATCTGTGCTGTGAAAGTTCGCTTCTCCATCAGGTCCTCTCCCTGACTGAACGGGTAGCAATCTTAATTTCAGGTCTGAAGAATGTGAGGTTGCCCAGACACGCTTTGGATTGGGTACCTTCTGGGAAAAGGGACGTGGATGTCCTATGAAGGGGTGACAGCAGGGTATTGATGAAGGGAAATTGTGTTGTCAGTTGCCTGATAAACAAGTGGGAAGATAGGCACATGTAGCGTCTGGGTGTCGTAGAACGCTAGAGTGCATTGTATGAGCGATCTTCATGCATGTAAGGATGCGAGTTTCATTCCCAATTTGTCCTTTTTTTATTTTTAGAATTATTACGCTTTGATTTTATCAAGTTTTCAAACCTTTTCTTCTGTTGATATGTTCTGCTTTTTGCGACTTATTGGCTATCATTGGCGATTTTAAGATCACATCAGCGACTTTATGATCGTATTAGCGACTTTTAAATAACATCAGCTACTTTAAGAACTTATTAGCAACTTCATGATTACTATAACAACTTGGAAGAAACATTAGCGACTTTGAGATTTTATTAGACTAGGTTAGGTCAGAAGTTAGTTGCAGCTCTTTATGAACTGCCTTTTTTTTCTGCTTGTGACCATACTCAAGCTCTGAGGCAAAATATTAATTTTAGTCTTACTCAAAAATATTAATTTTTTCAAAATTTCATTCAATGCTTCTAGTGTGCACGGAAAGTCTCTTTCTTCATGGCATAAAATTTTGCCTTCAATAAAATTAAATTGATGATCCGTCCCCTGCTGGTGTTTCTGTTTGGTAGTGCTTTCGTTTTCATACAATTTACAGCCGTGAAGATGCGTTGATCTGGTATGCCTAGTCTAGCCTATTTTAGGCAAATCACAGTCATCACAGGGATTAAGTTATCCTGCTACATCTAATTTAAAGAGTGACAGTCTTAAGCTTTGACATGAGGCACTGTAAAGTGTTAGATCTTTTATGAATCACCTAATTAGCATAGTCTCTGTATAACCCACAAGATTCTTAAAGAGATACAGTACATACAGATGCTCCTCTCTTTTTCAACCTTCAAGGTGGTGTCAAGGTTTGACTCTTAAGTTTCACCCATAAAGACTCTCCTAAAGATGTTCTTTTTGGTCCTCTTTAGATTTGTCATTGAATCATTCGTCTTTTGCTTTAGGTAATGGTATTTGTCCATGCTCGAAACAATACTGTGAAAACAGCAAATGTTTTGAAAGAGTTAGCCCAGCAAAAAAACCAGCTTCATTTATTCGTTCCGGAACAGTGCAGCTCCATTGGTACTGCACAAAGAGCCATGGAAAAATCCAGGTCAAAACAGTTGGCAGAACTGTTTCAAAGTGGTATTTCTGTGCATCATGCAGGGTTGCTACGGTCTGACAGGTTGGTATTCAATGTGGATTTGTGTGGATTCTCATAACTCGCCTCTAGAATTTAGTTTCTGAAAAAGCTACCAAAAAAAGTTCATCATTTTCTGTTTGAAAATAACATCCACCAAACTATTTTATCCTAAAATTAAAGGAAATTAATGAAAAAGAAATGACTAGCATGTTAAATCTCGCAATGAAGCAATCTTGATTCTTATCATTTTGTTCATGAATTATTTTTTGTGCTTCGATAATAGCACCCACATGAAACTCGGAAATCAATGAAGAATGAAATTAAAAACACTGTACGAATAAGGTCCTTTAACTGGACACAGTGATTTCAAGGAAAACTATTTTGGAGCTATGTTCTTGATGTACCTTGCAGACTGTGGTATGTGGGTACCCATGTTTTTCAATAATCTTACCCGTTCATTGAAGGATGGTGGGTAAATGTTGTGATACACTTTCGGTCCGCACTAAAACGTATGGTTTACTGAACTATTAGTTTACAGGCCTCTTCCTGCCAAACAATAATTTTGGTTAAAATATCAAACATAAATCATTATAATCATGCAGGATTAAGGCAAAATGAAAATATATAGATTTTGACTAAATAAACGTGGGTCTGGGGGTTGATTCGGCGAAAAACGTGAGTTTTGCGGGTTTTTGGTCGAATGCTGAAAAATCCTTGGTTTAAACCAAAATTGGCCTACAGGTCCACATTTAGGCCAGTACTAAACGTGGAAAGAGACCGAGAATGACCATATCGTGATGCACTCTGTAAAATATGGGCCGTCAATGAGTGAAAAATCATAAAATTTAGGAAATTCAGGAAGGCCCAAAATTGGCCCTTATCCATACCCCTTCTTCGGAACGGATTAAGGCCTTTCATAGTTTTGCTGACTTTTATCTCAGTCTGAATAATGTGGAAAATAGTGTACACTAGTCGACAATAGTATGAATAATAAAAAAAAGTTTGATATGACCATTGTTGTCCTATTATAGCGATGAGAACAGCTGGGGACACTAAAGTAGACCCTTCTTTGCACTCACCTCTCAATATTCCATAGATACCACACTGTAGTTCAGGATTAAGGAGAATCTGAAAAGCCAATTGGAGTGATACGAGTTCGTGCGCCTGTAGGCCCTCATTTGTTCGGCCTCCTCAATTGTACAGCTTGAGTCACTGTTCACTTGATGCTTTTTTACCCGCAAAAATATTTGAAGCTTAAGTACCTAGGACTTACATCATCCCTAAGTCTGTGGAGAAAAATGTGTCACAACATTGGTAATAATTAACTTTCAAGACTTACACGACCCACGTCTGATCATCCATAAACCAACAATAGCGTACTTTTTTCCAGCACACTTAACCCCAAAAACAGTCTTTACTCAACCATCTTGTTGCGTTTTCATTTAACTCATTCGTTTCTTATGTCTATTTGTTCCACCATCCATTTGTTGTATCCATTTTGTTTCACCGTCTTAAATTAAAGAAAGAGTAACCCTGCTCTCCTAGCTCCATGCTCACTGCTGTGGCTGCTCCAAAGCCAAAAGAACTTGTAGTTTAACTTTCTCCCTACTTCATGTGACCAGCACATTATTTCAAGCTCTTATCTCAAACCTCCATCCATCCTGGAAAAGGATAAATCATTTGTTTTTGTTTTGTTGGTTTTGGTAAAAGAAATGGACTTGCAAAGCAAATGCTACCTATCTTGTCGCTTTTTTAATGCAAGAGTGTAACTATGTATTTTGAAATAAGCCTTGTCATTTGTATGATTCTGTGTTATCTTAGATTCTAGTGAAAAAAAGGGTATGGTCTTACTTCAGTGATCCAATGATTTGATAAATGTTTCCTTTCATTTCCTTCCAAGAATACTGACATTTGGGTTAGGGCTTTCTAAAAAAGCACGTGGAAATATGCGGGCTGATTTCTGACCACGGTGTTACAGGTTGCAAGGCTGATGTGGCACGCCTCACGGTGTGGCGATATGGGTAAGAGGTCAGACATGGGCGATTCCGGATTTGTGATTGTTTGGGACCGGAAATGTGTTCTACAAGTACTATATTATAAGGATTTGATGATAGTTTTTGAATTTTAATCTCTCATATTGATGGTAGAGGCCTATAAAGTCTGCTAAGTCGGCAATCTAAAATTTCCTCTAAAAACGCACCAATGTTTGTGCATTCTTTAGTCTAATCTGAAATTTAATGAGACCTTTTCCAATGATATAATCTTACTCTATGCAAGCTGCTGATCATTTTTCACTACTAAAATGTAGCCGTAAATAGGTTTGAAGACGATTTATGCCGTCTGAAAGTCCTCGCGCCGAAAATGCTGGAAATAAAACTTTACATTAACTTTCGTTGCAAGTGCCAAGGAGTGTCTCGCTGGGACTTGTTGGGTCAGATCCACAGGACCCCTGAGCAGCCTCCTGAACAATTTTTAGCTGCTAATATCTGCTACTCCGACGGCAGCATGATATTATCTGATATAAAGTCGGCTGCGCAAATTCGGTTTTAATCACTCTGCGCAACCAATTGTTGACATCTTTCTAGGATTCATCACGCAGGTAAGAGGTCAAAGGTTAAAATAGGCTGATTATATGATAACAAAGTTACTGGATGCAGTAGTAGTAGTGTAATTGATTTACTTTTTTCTATCGGATATTTCAGTAATTAAAATTGTTTCTGTTATTTATCATACTAACAATGAATGGTAAAGAGGTTAGAACTGTTATTATAACTATAAATAATGTGGCTTCTACTCGCTCTGGTTGGTATCCTCATGTTGTAATAATTCTTAACACGACAATTATAGAAATTTCGAATATCAAGTAGAATATCATTAAATTTCACCTGTAGGAAGTCAATATTGATAGCACTAATTTAGTAAATGTAGACTTGTCATACATTTTAGACTGATTAATTTTACTAAAAATTAAAATAAAATTAATTCATATTGATAAATGAAGCTGGATGTTGTAGTGGATGAAGTAGTCGAGAGTTAAAGTTTTGTTTGGTCATGACGAGGAAATAGAGCTGTTGTTTAAAATCTCATACCTTCTATTTTATTTAATTTTTTTTGTTCTTATATTAGAAACAGCAGTATTAAGATATACAAGTATGAATACGAAAAATTCTGCATATAAAACTAGATGGAAAGAGAGAAGGGCGGTTGCAAATATTTTAAGAAGTGTCGAACGTTTAAATTACAGAAATGTATTTATTTGCGAGGTGGAAATCAATGTTTTTAGTATTCTTCAGGAACAACTTATGTAAATAGCAATTTTTCTCTATGATTGTCATCACTCAAATGGTAAAAGTAAAGGCAGATTTGAATTTACATCAAAAATTGCACTTAAATCATGCTCCTTGCTGCAAAATGGTGCGTTTAAAAGCCACAGAGCCACAATTCAATGTTTTTAGTATTTTTCAGGAATAACTTTTGTAAATAGCAATTTTTCTTGAATTTTCATGACTCAAATGGTAAATGTAAAGGCAGATTTGAAATCTACGTCAAAAATTGCCTCATGATGTTGAGGCTCCTTGATTCAAAATGATGCGTTTTAGGGTCACAGTTGACAACGGAACGCAAGTGGTTGAGCGCATGTCCGGGCAAACTGGCTTTTCGCCACACCGTGAGCCTGTAGGCTTTCTTTATGTGAAAAATTTTTTTATCCCATGATGCCTAGCAGTGGCTGTTTGAGGCATACATGCCGTTACAACAACAGATAATTACTCTTTTGCATCTTGGGCTCAAAATTTGATGATGCAAAACTGAATAATAGGAAGTTTACCGACTGAAGAATCCTGCTACATTGGAATGCCCAGGATTCTGAAGTATTCCAACTTACAATAGGTTTAACTTTACTTTTAATAGCTTTTTTGGTAAAAAAATGAATTGGATCAATTTACACTTCTTAATCACACTATTCTTTAAGCTAATTTTTTTACCCTATCGTTTCAGATCATTAGTTGAGAAATACTTTGCTGAGGGTTATATCAAAGTATTAGTGTGCACAGCAACTCTTGCTTGGGGCGTCAATCTTCCAGCTCATGCTGTCATCATCAAAGTAAGATTATCAACTTTTATCTATTGAATAATCTTGCAGAACCAGTTTCAAAAGGTTTTTCATAAGGCAATCTGACAAAATTTGGGTCAGTTTAAAATTACTATCAGAAATTGTTCCTTAGATGTAATCTGGTAGATCGTCAATAGAAATGGTCAGTAAATTTACCTATTTATTTATTCATTTATAAATTCTAATCAAGCTGAAGCCCAAGTAGCAGTGACAACAAAATCAATGAAATAATAAAACAAATAAAAATAAACTAATTCTAAGATAACCAAGACTTCAAGATAGATTCAAAGTGAAGAGAGTACAACCTTACAAAACTATATCAATAGTTTGCTTAGCTATCATTATGTTTCTTCTTACATATTGGAGATCCGCGTTCAAGCATTCGTCACATATGTCCAATTAGCTATTTCCTCTCAAAATGTCGTCAGTCATAAAAGATGAGAAACTGCTGAGGTCACAGACTTACATACTTGTTGAAGGTTCCTTAGGTGTTTTTTTATGCTAAATTCGAATTTGAACCTTATTTTGACAAATTTTCCTTTGAAAGTTGCCAAATCGTGCAAAAGAGCCGATTTTTAGGAGAGATATGTCTATAATAAACCTCACATTGGATTCTACGTCAAGAACTATGTAGAAATTATACTTAGAACATTGCTCTTCATTAATTGTAGACCGCGGTTGAAAGACAACATGTTTGGAATAATTAGGAAAAATTGGAATTATGGTCTATGTTGGTTCTGTAAATTTTAGATTGTTGTTAGCAAGGATAATTTATCATACTTTTTGATGTCAAAATCGATGTTGAACTTACTTTTAAAAAATTTCCTCAGAAAAGTTGCCGAATCGTACAAAAAACCGCATTTATAGCACTTTTTACATTATTCGACAACCTCTGAAAGTCTAGTTTACTAGATACATACATTTTTTTGAGGTGGCATCCGTATTTACAGTCTTTGAATTGGGTTGACTTTGGCAAAGTTGTTATATTGTGCAGAGAGTGCTTTTTTTGCGCGATTCAGCAAAGTTGTCAAATTGTGTAAAAAGTGTGCTTTTTTGTACGATACGGCAAATTTTCTGAGGAAATTTTTTGTAACAAAGTCTAACACCGATTTTCACATCTAAAAGTACGATAATTTATCCTTACTAACAACAATCTAAAATTTCTAGGACCTTAATGCCAATTTTTTCTCATTATTCCAAGCGTATTATCTTCACTCTAAGGACTGCAATTATTGAAGAACAATGTTTTTGGTATATTTGCTACGTAGTTTTTGACGTAGAATCCGAATGTAAGGTTTGTTTTAGACTTTTCTCCCCCATAAGTTGCCAAATCGTGCAAAAACTGCTCTATTGCACGATTTGGCTACTTTTGAAGAAAAAATTCTCCAAGTTACGTTTTAATTCGAATTCAGCATCAAAAAACACACTAGAACCATTCTTTTAAGAGGATTCTGTAAATATTTCAGGCCTTATTTTCTCTTTGCGTGAATTGGCCACCAACCAGTTGTGCAAGGAAACATCGCTGTAGCTCGGGCATAAATTGTTTCCCCAAGATCACAAAAAAGTGACAGATTCAGAATTTCTTAGAGGATCTCCTCAACTATTTTCTGTTCACCCAGCACCGATCGCCTTGAGGGGGAATACACTAAAAGCAAGTAAGGCTAATCGAAAAAATCCAAGTATCATTACGAAAAATTACGCAATAATCATAACATCATAAATATTCTTGTAGAGATTATCTTTTACGTTTTTTAGCGCAAACCGCAACTCTCACACTCAAACTTTCCTGGAAATATCGATTTTTAAAGTTTTACAAGTTTGGCAACTTTGCCAACTTGCTCCCTCCCCTCTAATTATTCAGGGGGGCTGAAATTTTTCCAAGCTTCAGGGACACCTAGCACAACATCTGAGCTAAGTTTGGGGCCCAATCGAAGAAGGGTCCAAAATCGGCATTTCTAGCACAATCTCTTTATTCCTTTTATTTATTGCTTCATTATGAACGGCGTATGAGTGAAACCCAATTTACGTAAAAGCTCAAATAGTATATGTAACTTTACAACAAAACGTAAAAACAATATCAAAAATGAAAGGTATTTGAGAATTCCATGAAGTAGGATTCATCCTGCTAGGTGGCAAAACAATGAAAAAAATAAACTTTTAATGTAAGTTCCATCAACCCAAAGAATTCGAGAAAATATCTGCAAAAAGTACTTAATGAAAAAATGAGCGGATTGATCAGATTTTTTAGAATTGAACTTCAACTGTTTTCATTTTTTGTGTATCCTAATTTCTTTTGTCTCTTTGTACTAACTTGTCATTTTGTTTATCTGTCATCATTAGGGGACAGAACTGTATGATGCAAAACACGGCTCCTTTGTAGATCTAGGTATTTTGGACGTTCTGCAAATCTTTGGTCGAGCTGGTCGTCCTCAGTTTGATAAATCAGGACATGGTATAATCATAACTTCGTACGACAAACTGAATCATTATCTCTCTCTTTTGACAAATCAGTTTCCCATCGAAAGTAATTTTATCAGTTATCTTGCTGATAATCTAAATGCTGAGGTATGAACAATCAACTTGTTTTAAATGTGACCATGATAAGTTTTCCTTTTCAGTAGTATCTACGGAAGTAATATAAATATAATACACTACAGCTTTTATGACTTTCGACAATTTCTAACAGAAGAAATGAACACAGTTAAACCTTTTTAAGTCGGAATGCATCAGGATCAAGAGTTTATCCCAACTCAGCAAGGTTTTTGGGTTCAACAGTCTTCATTTTATTCCGTTTTGCCATTTCAAAGCACCTGCCCAAAATGTGACAGAATCACTCTGCGCTGCAACAAAATTTCTGTGGCCTGCTACTGCTTCTCAATCATCATTGAGATCCTCTGAATAGATGAAAGAGGAATTTAGGCCATACAGAATGAAAGGGGTGATAAAGAGTCTCCTTGGAATATACCTTTTTTAAAGTGGATATCTCTGATGTGTAAAGTTTTTTCACTTGTTCGTAAGCTTAAGTCTACCGTCCACCATTTCATGGCTTCTTGAAAAAACTTAATGACTGCGCTGGATGCTTTGTGTACTTCCAGGGTCTCAATCGACCAGCTGTGAGGAACGCTATTAAATGCTTTTTTATAATCAATCCATGCAACACTAAAGTTTTTACGATTTATTTTACCAATCTTCAGTCAATGCTTTACTAAGTGTTAGGTGGTCTTTGGTTTCATTTGTGTTTTTGGCATAACCTTTCTACTCAGGTGGGAATAGGCCGTTCCAGAACAAAAGGTTTGTGCAGTCTATCTGCAATGACACTAGTCAGAAGTTTATAGAGGCATGTTATCGGCATGTAGTTTTTTGCCTCTTCTGTTCTCTTGTTCGTTGGGAACAGAAAATTTCCTCCTTTTATCAGTCACATAGATATTCTTGCTTTCCTTTCTATTAAGTTGTTGAAACATTGAGCTAAGTGTTTGTGGGTTGCGTTAAATCTTTTGATCCAGTAGTTCTGTAAACCATCAAAGCCTTTAAAGTTCTAGCTACTGCCATGATTTAGCTAGCGACAGTGGACAGGTAGTCCAGATCACCCAGTATTATGATTTTGCAGGTAAAGGACGACGGACCGGTCTTATGGGAAAAGTGGGCCCGGTTAAATCATAAAGTGTCAACGGGCGTTTCTTCCTATTTCGAAGTTTCACCCCCCATTTTGGGGGTCAAAGTTGCCAATTCAGCGTATAATTAGTAGTTTTGACACCCGAGTTTGTTGGTCGCCCATAAGATTCTTGAATGGTTTTTTGAGTCTATTGTATTCTCTGAACAGGCTAGAGGCCATCCGAATTAAAAAACTGAACAAATTTGCCTTATGGGGAAGGGGGGTGTGTTTACACCACCGATTTCAGAGTCGGCGAGTCGCATTGAACCGATTCTTTTGCCATGTTTTGGATAATTTTTTATGCAAATGATTGCGACTGCATCTTGAAGGGTCGACTAAGATGCAGCTCAGAATATATCCCCGGGCAGGGGGGGGGGGGGGCTGAAC